GGGGAAGAGACAGAAATCTTTAATAAATAAATTTTAAAAAAAGAAATAAAAGAAAACATAAAAAAATAAAAAAAATAAAAAAATGAAAGAAATTAAAGACTTCATTCATGAATGAAAATGAATAAACAACATACCCCAACTTAAAAAAAAAAAAGAATGACCATTTAGTGGTGGCACACACCTTTAATCCCACACACTAGCGGAAGAGGCCAGAGGATTTTTGTGAATTCAAGGCCAGCCTGGTCTACAGAGTGAGAGCGACTCTCTGTAGCCCAGCTAGAGTGAACTTTACTTACTTGGTGGAATCTCAAGGTCTGGCTAGAGGTAGGGGTGGGACCTAGCACCGAGGCCAACCAGAATTTGAGAGAACTAAGCCTCTAGGCTTTAAACTGTTTTTTTCTTTTCTTTTCTTTCTTTCTTTCTTTCTTTTTTTTTTTTTTTTTTTTTTTTGTAGGTAGGGATAGAGAAGGGGAAAGGGTTCTCATTAGGGCAGAATGGGGAAGTTTTCTGTTTTTCCTCTGTAAGCTGTTTCCGAAAGGTCAGGGTCTGTGGTCTCTTTTTGCATCCTTTCTGCCCATTTGGGTCTGGGCTGGCTGCATTCTCCTGTAGTCTTCAAATGGCTGCTGTCCAGAAACTTTGAACTTAATTTAGGATCTTCGCTTTAGAGGGATAGAGGAAGTGGGGATTCCTTTAATTCTTGCCCTTGCCTTTGTTGAGCTGCTCCCTACTTATAGGCCTGCGAACTCACCATCTGCTTGGTGGTGGTTTTTTGTTTGTTTTGGTTTATTTCCTGTATCTGTCTCCAAGCCTTCAGTTTTGTACCCTGGTACTCAGCCCAGCAGGTACTTCGGTGAGGGCAGAGTGGCTCAGTGAACTTTTGCCTCCTAATCGTGCTACACATCTGCCTGCCTTTGTCAGTGTGGATCCGGTATTGTGTCTATGCTTACATCTGCGTGTGCGTGTGTTGGTATTTCTAATACCTGCCTGTGTGTTTGCAGGCCTCTGGGTCAATTCTCCAGATCTTCTTGTAGATGTGGCAGCATTGTCCACTCTGGGGATGTCACAGCGAACCAGGGCACCAGTCTTCCGGCTCCAGGGTGACACGGATTCACTCTCAGGTCCATGTTATCACATGCTCCAGTTTAACCTGCTACTGCAGTCGAAAGCCCTCGTCCAGGGCCTGTGCTGGGTGCTGTACCTGAGCCTGGCATGAGGCCAGTGACATCCCTGTCTGGCCCCTGCAGCCTGTATGTCTGCTGCTGCGGTCTTGCCTGGTAGAATCTCCCTAGGGCTTCCGGCGGTTGGTTGTCTCTGAGGAAGGCATGACTTCACAGTTTGACTTGGGAACCCCAGGAGCAGTGGGATTGTATACATGCCAGGGGGCTCCTTCCTCCGTAGGTCGCAGGATTCCTGCACAGCACACGCCTATTCTGAAGGGCTCCTCTGAACCTGACCATGGGCATTGCTCCATGAGGTCTCCCCTTCCTGCCATTCTCACAGTCTTTGTGTCAGCCTGCCCCCTTTCCCCTCCTCTCACCCTTCTGAAGCACCCACCGTAAGGCTGGAAAATAGAATCTCTGTGGTGCCCACTGAAGTAGCCCAGATGCAAAATGTAAATCAGCCAGCGGGGTCCTGGCAGGGAGAATGCATGGGGGGTGGGGAGGGGCTGCTGCTTCTCACCTGGAGACCAGATTAGTCCTCATTGCCCCTCCTCCCAACTGCCTTAACTGACACTCACACCCCTGCATTGTGTCCACACCTCCCTCCTCCTTCGGCTCCTTGCTCACTCTAAATCCAAGGACAAAGGCCGCCTGCTTACAGAGCCTCCAAGGAGCGGTGAGGAATTGCGTTATCTCATGAATACTGAGCAGGCCCAGGGCAAGCCCCAGTGGGTCTCAGCTGAAGCCACGTGAGACCTGGCCCTTCAAGCTTCCATTCAACAGTCTCAGTGGAAGGACGAATTCCTGTCAGGCTGCCAATTAGGAGGTGAGTGTTACACCATGCTGGGTTGGGGGTGGAGTTGGGGTGTTTGGCGCTCCAGTGCAGCAGGCAAGCTGTCTTCTGGGGAGGCCGTCCAGGGATAGCAGTGAGTCTGAGTCTGAGCAGTCAGGAGGTTGAGTCTGTAACGGCAGAGCTTGTGGCAGTGTCTACAGACAGGTACAGCTTTAGTCCCCGGGAAGCCTCGCATTCTGGCTGTTTGGGACTGCCTGCTGACCAAGGCAGCACAGGTACAGGGAGAGTGAGGTCGAACCCAGCGCAAAGCCCAGAGAGAACTCGCTCTGAGCCAGCTGTAGCCCTTCCTTGTTCTCAGGTGTGTGAGGGAGGGGTATAAAGGGGGGAGGGTCACACATCCCTCTGCAGAGTCTTCCAAGATCCACTTCTGTATTGTTTGGTTTTCTTGTTGTTGTGACAAATGGTTTTAAAAGCAACTTAAGGAAGGAAAGGCTCATTTCGGCTTGTGGTTTGGGGTACAGTCCATCATGGCAGGAAAGCATGGTGCTGGGAACATGGGACAGTTGGCTGGTCACATGGCACAGACAGCTGGCTAGTCACAGGATGGTGCTGCCATTCAGACTGGGTCTTCCTACCCCAACCCAACATAGGGACCCCTCACAGACATGTTTCCAAAGGCTTCCTCTAGATCCTATCTAGCGGACAATCAAAATTAAGCATCACAAATTCCAATGAATGCATGCATGCCATGGCCACAGCAACTCTGCTTCCCTTTCAGGTGGGAGAGCCTGTCAGTTTCCCAGCTACACTGCCATCTACCTGAGCCCCATCTGCAGTCACTGGAGCACAGCACTGTGCAGTGACTGGACTAGGAGACTCTGTCATCTGCCTGAGCCCCCTCTGCAGAGTCACCGGAGCACAGTGTTGTGCAGCAACTGGACTAGGCGAGAGTATGTAATATGATGATTTCTCTTCCTGAATCCTGAAGCCAGGGTCTTAGGGAGAGGAGACTTCACAGCATTGACATATCTCCCACCCTACAAAAAAGCACACCAGTCCAAGCACCAGCCTTGGCTGCCCAGGGCAACCTGAGTCTACAGTCCCCCTCCCTTCCCTGGTGTCTTGCTTCATTTCCCCTTCTGTGGAACCCCAGTCTCAGTGGCATATAAGCCACTGCCGTCTCCGTGTGCCTCCTGACCCCAGACCCCTGAAAAGGGCCCAGTGTCCAGATGCAAGAGGAGCTGTGGCTGCCCATGAATGCATTTACCATAGCAAAGTCTGCAGTGCCTTTTTTACAGATCACAGGGGTTGTTGTCTGTATATATTCAAATATAGAATATCACCCATAGGCTTATATATTTGAATACTTGGTGTTTGTGAAGTTGTGGAGAAGTCGGAAGCAGGAAGCTGAGTGTTTACATCTTAAAACACAAACATGAAGCCGAGAGAGCAAACTCTAAGTAGGTAATGCTTGTTCATCTCAAAGCCTGCCCCCAGGGATGTACTTCCTTTAGCAAGGCTGCACTGGAACTGAAGGAAGTAGGTGAACCAGTCACTCAGGTGATGCCCACTGGGGGACACAGCCAGCTCTGGAGGACACTCACCATTCAATAAGGCTCTGGACAGAGCTGAGGAAGCAGTAGGCAGCACTCAGAGGGTGCCCTCAGCCTGCATCTCAAGTGTGAGCATGTTCAAATAGGACTCCCGTTCCCCAGAAACAGGCTGGAAAGGGGAAGAAGAGGGATGTGAGGATGTACCGGTGTCTCCTAGAAGTTTCTAGAACCTGAGGTAACACTTCTGTTGCCATCTTCCCTCCTTTAATGCTTGTAAGCATGCATGGGTGTAAATGTATGCACATACATGCATGTTTGTGGGTGTGTATGTTCATATGTATGAAGGTGCACATGGATATTCTTGTGGAAGCTGAAAGATAACCTTAGGTGTCATTCTGAGGAATTCTGTCTGTCTTCTTTGAGACAGTGTCTCTTGTTGGTCTGGAGCTCACCAATTAGGCTAGACTGCCTGGTGAGGAAGTTATGCGAATCCTCCTGTCTCTGCCTCCCCAGTACTGGGATTCTAAACATATGATCATGGCTGGCATGTGTTCTGAGTCCAAATGTTCCTTGCATTTGCAAGACAAGAGCTCTGCTGACCGAGTCATCTCTCCTAGCCTTCCTGTTGCCATCTCATGGCAGAAGACTTGTAGGGTGGGCAGGAAAGCAATGTCCGATCCAGGTAGCCATGTACCAGCAGACATGCTGAGCACCCCTGGGACCTATCATATCATATCATCACAGCTTTCTTAACCCTCTCTCGAGACTGCTGGCAGGCCAGGGCTGAGGCCCCCTGAATGAGGCAAGGGCACAGAGGATGTGTGAGCTTTTGGAGACACAGCTGTGGCCTGGTGGGAAGAGTCTTGGAGGTTGCCTACAAGCTCTCAGAAGCTGTCTGAGATGGTTGATGATTACACAAGGTCCTAGGCATGGTATGGGAGAATTGTCTGTAATCTGTCAATCATGTTTTAAATAAACGCTGATTGTCCAGGTAGGAAGTATAGGCGGGAAAACCAGACAGAAAGTAGAGGTGATGCAATGAGAACAGGAGAATTCTGGGAAGGAGGAAGTTGATTCCTCTCAGTCCTGCTCAGACCACCAAGGAAGCAGGGTGTGACCTGCCAGCTGAAAAAGGTACTGAGCCATATGGCTAAATTAGATCAGAATAATGGGTTAATGGGCAGTGGTGGCACACGCCTTTAATCCCAGCACTCAGGAGGCAGAGGTAGGTGGATCTCTGGGAGTTCGAGGCCAGCCTGGTCTACAAGAGCTAGTTCCGGGACAGGCACCAAAGCTACAGAGAAACCCTGTCTCGAAAAACCAAAT